GGCGGGCTGGTGGAGATCGGGGGACAGGGAGGCGGTAGCGGGGAGGCCGTAGGGATCGGGAGAGAGGACATCGGCCGGAGGGTGGAATTTGGAAGAGGTCGGTTTCAGGAGGGACGAGGGCCTCTCTTGCGCTCCTCGGGGACTAGCACGGCGGGCTGGTGGGATGCGGTGCAGGGTTGAGGGGGAGAATGGGAGAACAGGGAGAAGGAAAGGAACGGAAACATCAGGGAGACCTTAGGACACATGCCATTTGGAGGGATAAGGGCCGCGAAACGGAACGTATAAGTACTAACCACGGGACAAAGCGTCTCAGGCGTCCCTGCGCCGAGTCAGAATGCGACAATATGATTTGTCGAAAGAGTCTTCCGTGGGAATCCAATGACGATCGGCGCGCTTTTGGAGAGAAAGCGCAGATAGTATAGTTGACATTCCTATCTGAGGCGCCTCAGAAATCGGCGCGCTTTTGCAAGGCAGATAGTCCAGCCAAGATCCAGGCGACGGCTTTGAAGGAAAGTCGGAGATGCTCAGTACAGGTGAGAAAAGCACATGGCGAATAGTGACTGCACTTTAAAAGGCATGAACCAACGACGCTACGAAAAACGCGAAATTTGGGCTAAGACGAAGCGAGAAAATCCGACCCTAGAGGATGGAGACAGAGAAGGATGCAGAGTGGTTCGTAACATTAGCTACCAAAGCGGCTCCCTGGAAGTCGGTCGTTCATGGCGGACCCCAACATGCGACGCTGGTAGACAGAATGCTTTCTAATCACGATGATGTTGTCAACGGTATTCGCGGGAAGCTCTAAGAGGAAGCGTCGATGCACGCACACCTGTAGCAGGTTGCGACTCTGAAACTAATCGGACACTCGCGTTTCCTATAACTGTGCGATGCTGGTGAAATGTGTCGAGAACTCACCCTCTTGAAGTTTGCGACGCCAGTGGGAGCAGTAGCAGCTGGCAAGGCATCTGTCGTGGACCCTCTTGAATGTGCCTGCAGGTTGCAAGTGCTTCCTTCTTTAGTATCAAGAGCCTCTCTTTTCAATAAAAAGAACGCTGTTAAGTGAGAACCCCAAGAACCTAATCCGAATGCGAGCTGATAGACAAACAGAGAAATGTCGAAACAGTGGCGTAGTACGGCACAAACTAGAACGTCAGAGTGATTCAGGTAGACAATGAAAAGAAGATACGAGATGTTGGGACTTCAGCCTTCAACGCTGCTACTCTTACAGGCACATTGCCGTCGAGCCAAGCTGCGGCGAAGCCGGTGGTCGGTCTGGCGGCAGCATTGCCGGTCGCGACGGCGACGGCTGACTGACACGCTTCCAGCAGGCGAGATCGCGAACGCGAGATTGCGCGGGACAACATCTTAACGCTCCTGTACAATCTTCGTTTAAGATCTACTATGCCTTTCTTCTACCGAACGACTCGCCTTGGGAAGCACGACGCTAAGTTACACCACCTCTACGGTTAAGACAGCTCCACTGAACCGTGGACCTGACAGGGACTAGCACAAACCACGCGGCAATGGCCTCTGCTAGTTTCAGAGCGGTCGAGACGAGCCGGGCAAGTGTAATCCTGACTCAGGATTCCCGAGAGACGAACTGTTCTCAAGAAAGGAACACGAGGTGCTGAGCTGACTGCCACAGGGAGTGTCTTCGTGGCCTAGAGATTTCCAAGCTCAAGCCAAGCCAAAAGACGTTGGACTTTCAAAGACTTTCGCCAAGGCGGTAACAACAGCTTCTGTTACACTACTGACGATGACGAGTGGCTCCCATAAGTTTCGCGCAAGGGCGAATCTCTGCCACCACGAAAGACACGTCAGTAGCAGCCAATCGTAGGGGCGATTGCGAGCGAAAGTAGTGGAGATTCGAGCACAATATCCCAGAATCACGGAAGCTGGGGAATCTGGTGCTTCTTTGCGTTGACGTGGCTGAACTGGTTTGACAACCTCCTCATGGAGGTTCCCGCTCCTAGAGGCTGCGCCAAAAAGCGTCGAAAATACTATTATCTACTGCACAATCAATCACCCACTGGTTCTGTTTTTTTATGTGAGCTTGTGCCCCTCCAGCCCAGAATAGAAGGGTCTATTCCGCATGCTTTCAACAACTATATACGGTTGTGAAGAAAAATACACTTGGAGGACAAAAGGTGCTAGTCAATCCAGATGTCTGCCCGAAAATGCATGGCACCTTCAGGAAAGAACACACCAGGAGCCGCAACAACCTCGTCCCAAGGCTTCTTAAATAGGTCCCTTGATCCCCACCCATGGTACGGCTCTGAGAAAACACATGCACTGCGTGACTTCACCACACAATACCCCACTGAACCACTGCCACTGCTAACCCCCATCCCTTCAGCATCAGCACTCAGAGCAGCAGGGCCAAGAGCAGCAGCTGCTGATTCACTCCTAAGCGAACTCAGCCCAAGCGCACTACCTGCAGCAGCAGGTTCAACAGCAGCAGCAGCAGCAGCAGCAGAACTGGCGGCACCAGTACCAGTCACAGCACCACCACCAGCGCCACCAACGCAATTCTCCCCATCACCTCTTCCCCCGAAATCCATTTTCACACAGAACCGGTACTGGCAGTTCACACTCTCAGCAGCAACGCCCGGAAAAGTGGCATGCTTATCTAAGCGCAGGAACAGGCCGAATCTCGGCCCAAGCTCCTTCTGACACTCCAGCTTCGCGTTCAGTGTGAACCAGCGGCCGGCAATGCAGAACAGGCCAGAAGTTGCCTGGAAGGAGACCGAGGGGGTCCAGCCTTGGCACTGGCTGAAGGGAATTTCGAGGAACAGGGATTTCCGTGGCGGGCGGTAGGAGTTGCGGGGGCGAGACCAGGAAGTGGAGATGGAGGAAGGAGAGTAAGAATGGGGGGTGGTTGCGGGAGTAGACCAGGAGTAGGGGTTGGCTGAAGGGGTAGGGATGAGTGAAAATTGCGGGTTCTGGTGGGAAGTGGAGGTGGAGAGGGAGGAATGTGTGTGGAAGGAGGAAGTATGGGGTGAGGCGATGGGCAGGGAGGAGGATGAGGAGGAGGAAGATGGGAGGGTGGCAAAAGCAGGGGGTGTGGTGTAAGTGGCGCCAGCAGTTAAGCCGCCAGGGGGAGGAACATGAGGAGGAAGAGCAGGAAGAAGAGGAAGAAGAGGAAGAAGTGGAACAGGAGGAAGTGAACCTGCAATTGGAAACTGCAAGGAAGGTGTTGATAACCACGACTGCTGAACACTGTGAGTGTTAACACTAGAGCTCACACCAGAGCATCCCACGTCTCCCCTGTGAGCATCCCCCCTTTGAGCAGCAGCAAACAACCCTTCCAGCACAGCTGCCCTCGCCTCCTCACTCTGCATCTCCTCCAACCCTACCACCACCAACCGCACAAAACCAGCCCCCACCCACGCCCACCGCACCTCCCTCACCAACCTCCCCACCGCCGCCCTCCTCTCCGCCACCCCCGCCGCCCACGCCTGCAGCCCAAAGAACCCCACTTCGCCGCCCGGACCCGCTTCGCCAGCTGGTTTCTGTTCTCCTGGAGAATCGAGTTCGCCGCCCGGGAATCTGTGCCGTGCCCAGAGGATGAGGGCACAAAGGACAGACTCTTCGGAGTCTACGGGGAGGTCGTCGGACTCAAGGAGGGCTCTTATGCCCGCCTCGGGGAGAGTGAGCAGCTCGTTTGCAGCGGCGGGATGGTTTGGGTGAGGGTTGGTGGAGTGAAGGGTGGTGTGGTGAAGGGTGCTGTGGTGAAAGGAGGTGGTTTGAAGGGTGTTGGAGAGAAGGGTGTTGGGGTGGAAGGAGTTGAAGAGCGGTCCGTAGCGGTGCACAACGCAGGCCTGGGAGAGATGGCGGGAGAGAGAGTGCGAGCAGGGCTTGCTGAGTGGTGAGGGAGGAGGGAGTGTTGGCAGTGGAGGGGGAGGAGGAAGAGGAGGAGCTGGTAGTTGTGAGGGACTGAGTTGGAGGGTTGGTTGGCTGAGGGGGGTTTGCTGTGGTGGCGGTTATGGTGCTGTTGGGAGGGACGGATGGTGGAGCAGTGGAGGAAGCAGAAGCAGAGGCAGGGAGTGAGGGGGCAGCGGAGGAGGAGGGGTGGGGAGTGAGGGAGGTGAGGGAGGTGAGGAGGGAGGAGCAGGTGGCAATGCCCTCGTCCACTCCGAAGCGGTCGGCCAGCAGGAGTAGCTGCAGTGTGCGCTCAAAGGATGTGACTGTATCAGGGGGTAGAGTGCCCTGGTAGATGAACTGCAACAGCTCCATCATCAGAGGCTCCTCTGGGGTGGAAGAGAATGGGGAGAGAAGAAGAGAATGATAAAAAAAATCATCATTAGAGGCTCCTGCGAAAGACCATTTGGTGTGTGCTAAACCACACCATTCAGCAAACTTGATTGTTCTAGGTTCTTGCACCTTTTGTTTATACGTGTGGTATGGTGTAGTGTGGTATGGAGTGGTGTGGTGTGGTGTGGTTGGTTTGGTGTGATGTGAGGTGGTGTGGTTCACAATATTCCATGGATCCCTGTTCGGGCGACGCTCAGGCTAAAATACACATCATCTTGAGGAATGACCCTGTGCGTCGGCGCTCTCTAATGGAGAAGATTGCAAATGTACGGGCTCTGGATCAGACACGGACCTGGATATTTACAAGTTTCAGAGTTCCTTTTGTCGTCCCTCGTCAGTCGCGGGCATGGAAGCCTCCTGCTCGTGCTGGCAGGCTTCTGTGTTCCGGATTGACGAGGGTCAAGAAAACAGATTGCGAGCCGTATAAATATCCAGGTCCGTGTCTGATCCAAAGCCCGTACAATTGTCATCTTCTCCATAAAAAAATCGACGACACCCTCAAGGTGATGGGTATATTAGCCCGAAAGTCATTCAAACAGAGATGTTGTGTATCACGGCGCAAACATTGTACACCACACCGCACCCCACTACACCACACAATACCACACCACACTAACGCTGATGGCAAGTCCCGAGTCAAGTGCTCGGCACAACACAACACACCGCGCCGTCCATCCATGCATGCCTCAGAACATACCCTGGGCAAAAAGGTGGATGTGCACGAGCCGTCGATCGAGAGTCTCACTGAACCCGCTGGTGAAGAGAGCGCGGAAGAAGGTTGACTTGGACGCCAGTACCACGGACGCTGCTGGTACGTCCCGAGTCAAAGGCTCCGCGGGGGAGGTTGATGCTTCATGAGCAGTGGCAGCGGCAACATGTGGCGTTTGAGGAGTAGCAGCAGCAGCGGCAGGGATGGGCTTGTGAGATGTTGTTGTCGCTGGTGCTGCAGAGCTGGTGTTGTCGGCGTTGCCTTTACCAAACCGTGATGTGTCCGTGGCAGGTGAAGCGTCACGCATTCCTGAACGGAAGGCCATGAGGGCATGGCATGCAAAACGGAAATTAGATTCAAAGTGGCTCGTCAAATGTCACGCATTTAAGCACGAACCCACTAAAACAATTGCGAGTTTATACAACGCAGACCAGCAGCGTTACATAATAGCCACGCTAGAAAACACGACCACATTCGGAAAATGGTTACCGAAGAAAAACCAACTTCACGGTTAAGTTCAGTAAGCCTAGAGACACGGTTGTACCTTGGGAGGGTGACTCAATCACAAGCCGAAGGACGCAGTCAGAAAAGGAAGCTTCTCGGAAGGCGAAGGTTAAGTCGAACCGCGGTAGGTTCGCCATTACCGATGGCGTAGCGACAGCGACTACGAAAGAGAAATAAAACTTCGGGCTGTCAACCAAATCGTTGCCGACCCGCAGCGTGAAGGAACGCGAGACACAAAAGCGTGAAAATCGATTTTGACATGAAAAAAACGCGTAATTCCAGGCCTGAGGCAGCGCGCCCAACGCTCGCTCCCTTCGCGTCAGCAACTAGAGTATCTTCAGGCGAACCTGGTAATTGTGGTCTAGTTGATTGGAACGAGATTTTTGTGGAGCCAGAGTGGGTAGCGAGCGGGTGTGTGTATGGGGAAAAACAAGCAGGTAGGCGGTGGTTATGTCTGCAATAATGCCGCGATATTGCTCGGTGATTTGCGTTACTAATGGGTATGGAAAATCAGGACCACTGTATACCAGCACGAATCTCGAGAATTTCAGGAAGGTGAAGTGTGCGCGATGGTATGAATTCGTGAGTTGCGTTGCGAGATGTGTAGGGCTTCATAACCCGAATAGTGGCGAAATTAGCGACTTTCGAGAAAGCATGAGGCAGTCGTCTCGAAGGCATTCCATGAAATGAGGGGAATCGTGTGCGAAGAACCCGATGAGGGCGTGTGAGGTCGGTTTTGAAGTTCAAAATAAAGTGCGAACTTTGGGTGGTTACCCGTTTCGCCAATATCGCATGGAGCTATTAGCGAAAATTCGTCAACTTTGGGTTTGGCAACATGCGAACTGCAAACTTGAACAAGACTCGAGTTTTAGTTGTGAACGTGCTTCGGCATGTTCACATTCACGTGTGTGATTTCCCGCACGTTCAGTCATCGGGCGAAATGTGCGAGCGACTCACGAGTAGCAACAGTGGCACAACGAACTCACCACAGCCTTCGTGTACTGAATAGAGGCCACGTGGCGAGAATCGTCATGTTTGGGGAATGACGAGAGCTCCAGGTGGGCAACCTCTGATATTTGTACCCCAGTGTTGAAGGTGAGCTGGAGGTCTAGCCTATCCGAAACCGAGGCGCACGTCGGCCGCGTGGCGCACTGTCAAGACGTCTGAACCGGGTAACCTACGTTGTAGAAATGCGGCTCGGTGCGATTTTACAAGTTCGAATACGCGCACTCGACCTTGTATGTGTGTGTGCTTTTCTGCAGTGTTGTGGTCCAGATGTGCGAACCCCGATACAAAGGAAGTCGAGATTGATTCGACTTATGTTCACTTCGCACAACTCGCCCAAAAAATGTAAACTTTCACGAATTTCACGGATCACACGCGCCCTAACCTGCCATTTGAACAGGGAGTGGGGAGAGAACGTCTGTTTCGAATGGTTCAGTGTACGCGTTATACACAATACGGTGGGAAATCTTGTGGCTGGCTGGTTGATGCATACTGCACTGCTTACTCATATCTCTGGAGAAATCGTGGCAGTTTTATGGCACTTTTTTTGCACGTCTTCTTGCAAGCTTCTCCTGAAGGTTTCGTGCCAGCGTGATACGCTGTGGTCCTAGTCAGCAGCATTCGCTGTGATACGCGTCAGAGTTGTCAGCTCTGCCTTCTAGTCAGAGCCGAGCCTAGTCAATCTAGCCGTTGTAACACAGCAGCAACTTGGAGCTGTCAGCATTCACTGCACCGCGCGGCATTGGCTTGGTTGGTTCCGACGTTGTTCTCAAGGTCTCCCCAAGAATCACCACTTGCGGCGTTGTCGCTGCCCTGCGTCGCGCGCGGGCCTAGGAGTTTTAGTAGATCTCGGGAACACAAGCCAGTCCTCTGTCAGAGCAGAGCTGCTAAACGTCTTGGCGACACTGACCTTGGTACGACCTCCATACGACATTTGTACGGCATTTGGACGACCGACTCGCGTCTTTTTCCGCGGCAGAGCATGTCGGCCGCATACGCCGCTGGCACGTGTCAGCTGACGTGGCGCCCAGTTGCTTCTTTAAGTGCGTCGTTCGAAGCGCGTGAAAACGCTTCGCGCCTCGCTGGAAACGTTCAGGAAGCGCGAATTCGGTGTAGCGGCTGGAAAGGGAACACGTGGCGACTCAGGAGTGGCCGCCGGGAGGCCAACGGGAGATGGAATGGCGGCGGTAAAAGGACTCGCGTGGGGCGATTACGAGCAGGCCCGGATGACGTGAGTGGGTTAGGTCACTAGGTGGGTAGGGGGTGCGTGTGTAGGGGATTGGACTGCCAATCGCAGTCCACACACGCACCCCCTATCGCATACCCTACCCTACCGCATACCCTACCCTACCATACCGTTCTCCACACCCCCCTACACACGCACCCTGCCCTACCCTACCATACCGTTCTCCATACCCCCCCGCCCTTGCTTGCTGCAGCAGCCAGTCTCCACCTCCCCCATGGGAGGGCAGTCGCAGAGGCAGCTGCTGTTGGAGAATGCGAGGGGCGTGCAGCCTATGCGTGCCTGCCACGCTTACCATACCGTACTGTAACTTTACCGTACCGCACTGTACCATTGTGCACCGTGCTCCTTCTTGCTTGCAGCAGCAGCCAGGCCCCACGTCCCCCATGGGAGGGCAGACGCGGAGGCAGCTGCTGGTGGAGTATGTGAGGGGCGTGCAGCCTATGCTTGGCTGCCGCCCATTGCACCATACCGAGCTGTACTACACCGTACCATACCATACAGTACTGTACCATTGTCCACCCTCCCTCCTTCCCTTACTGCAGCAGCCAGGCACGGGAGGGCAGACGCGGAGGCAGCTGCTAGTGGAGTATGTGAGGGGCGTGCAGCCTATGTGGGCCTGCCAGCTATTGCACCGTGCCATACCCTACCATACCATCCCATGGTCCACCCTTCTTCCTCCCCCCTTGACTGCTGCTCCAGCAACCAATCCCCACCTCACCTATGGGAGGGCAGACGCGGAGGCAGCTGCTGGTGGAGTATGTGAGGGGCGTGCAGCCGGACTTCATGGAGAAATTCTTCCAACACGCCGAGCCGCAGGTGAGTGCTGGGTTGTGTGGGTGTGGGGTGAGGGAGGTATGCAAGTATGCAAGTATGTGAGCATGTGGGCATGTGAGTGTGTGAGTATGTGAGGGGTCGGCGTGCAGCCTGACTTTATGGAGAAATTCTTCCTACACGCCGAGCCGCAGGTGAGGGGAGGAGTATGTGGGCATGTGGGCATGTGGGTATGTGGGCTTGTGTGGGTGGGTATGTAGGCGTGTGACCTAGTATGTGGGTGTGTGAGTATGTGAGGGGCGTGCAGCCGGACTTCATGGAGAAATTCTTCCACCACGCCGAGCCGCAGGTGAGTGCTGGGTGGGTTGATATATACAGGGATGGTGGGCACTTGCGGCAGCAGCAAGGAGTATGTGAGTATGTGAGGTGCGTGCAGCCGGACTTCATGGAAAAGTTCTTCCAACACGCGGAGCCTCTGGTGAGGGGAGGGGTATTTGGGCATGTGGGCACTGGGTGGGCATGTGACTATACTAGTATGTGAGTATATGAGGGGCGTGCAGCCGGACTTCATAGATTCATAGAGTTCTATGTGTACCTTCCAACTGCGTTCTTCCCTCTCCTCCCCTTCCCTTCCAGCCTCCCTTCCTTCCCCTCACGCCAGTTGGTGTATGCAATGAGACAGACTGTGAGCAACATGCTGGGGTCACGTTACTCATTGACTTACTCCTTTTTCTTCCTCCCTCTTCCCCCTTTGAACTCTCCATTTCCGCCCTTTCCTTCCCCTCACGCCAGTTGGTGGGTGCGATGAGACAGACCGTGAGCAACATGCTGTGGTGATTGCGCTCAACCATCCAGTCTTCGCTCTTCCCTCCTGCCTGCCTGCCTCCGTCCTTGTCCCTACCCTTCTTCCTTGCTTCTTTCCCTCCCCTCACGCCAGTTGGTGGACGCAATGAGGCAGAGAGTGAGCGACATGCTGCGAGAGTCCATGCGTTCTTACTGTCATTCTTCCCACTCCTCCCCCTTCCCTCCCATCCCATCCCTTTCTCCCTCCCTTCTTCCCCTCACGCCAGTTGGTGGACGCAATGAGACAGACCGTGAGCTACATGCTGTGTGAGAGAGTAAGCGTCCTTACTGTCATTCTTCCCACTCCTCCCCCCTCCCTCCATCACGCCAGTTGGTGGACGCAATGAGACAGACCGTGAGCAACATGCTGGGGTCACGCACTGACTTACTCCTTTTTCTTCCTCCCTCTTCCCCCTTTGAACTCTCCATTTCCGCCCTTTCCTTCCCCTCACGACAGTTTGGACGCAATGAGGCAGACAGTGAGCAACATGCTGGGGTCGCTGCCACCGCAGTATTTTGAAGTCACTGTCACAACGGTACGGTGCGGTACGGTACGGTGGGGGAAGGGTGCTTCAATAGACGGATTACATGATTTGTTGTTGCAATGCTCATTGCCTCGCCAAACCCTCCCTCTCATCTATCGCTTCTCGCTTGAACTCTCCACATGTTCTCTTCCCCACACACGTGACACGGCAGGTGGGGGAGAATCTGGCTCAGCTGATGTTCAGTGTGATGATGACTGGTTACATGTTCCGTAACGCACAGTACCGCCTCGAACTCTCCTCCTCCTTCGCTGGTGCCGTCGCCCTCCCCGCTGCTTCTTCCTCCTCCTCTCCTACCTCCCTCCCCTCCTCCTTCCCTCCTCACACCCCCTCCTCCACCTCCTCATCACCCTCCTCCTCCTCCACCTCTTCCTCTTCCTCCTCGTCGACTCAGCCACTACCAGCATCGCCATCCTCTACTGCTTCGGACAGACAAAGGGGGCGGCAGCAGCAGCAGCAGCAGTGGCAGTGACTCTGATTCTCGATCGTGGGTATGTTTCTTTGGTGACTGTGTGGCTATGGCTGTGGGCGTAGGAATGGGCATAAGCATGGGCATCTCCTCGCATCCATACGCATGGGCGTGTTTTGAGTCGACTCAGAACATTACGGAACAGTGTCCCTGTGGGTACGTTTCTTTGTTGGCTGTGTGGGCATGGGCATAGGAATGGGCATAGGAATGGGCATAAGCATGGGCGTAGGAATGGGCATAGGAATGGGCATAAGCATGGGCATAGGAATGGGCATAAGCATGGGCATAGGAATGGGCATAAGCATGGGCATAGGAATGGGCATAAGCATGAGCATAGGAATGGGCAGAAGCATTGACATCTCCTCACATCCATACGCATGGGCATGTGCATATGCACATGCACATGTGCTGACATGACATGACATGACATGACATGCATTCCCTCCCTCCCTGCGCATGTGCTGCTGTATCCTCGGGACATGCATAACAAGATCCTCACTCCCTCACTCACTCCTCCTTCCCTCTGATCTGACTCCCTACCCCAGCCCCCCACTACAGTGCCTTACTTCCGGGTCTCATTCACAAGACGCATGCTCAGATCTTCTGGAGGTGTTTCCTTCTCTTGAATGGCAATATGGGTTCACTTCTTGCCGCCCACGCTCCCTTCCCCCATCCTTTCCAACCTCCCACTCGCAATGCCTTACTTCTGGGTCCAATTCAGTAGACGCACACTCGGCTCTTCTGGAGGCGTTTCTTTCTCTTTACCTTACTGACCATATGGGCTCACTTCTCGTGAAGAAAGAATGGTTTTGAGACGTCTCAAAACACTTCTTTCTTCACATGGCGTTTCTTTCTCCATACTGACCGTATTGGCTCACTTCTCTTGCAAACCTCACTCGCCTTCCCCCCACTTGGGCTCCCTTCCCCCATCCTTTCAGCCTCCCACAGACAACGCCTTACCTCTGGGTCCGGTCCAGAAGGCTCATGTGGTTGGAAAAATGCTTCTTTTTCCCCTTCACCCCTCTCACAACCCACACTCCCCCCTGGTGCTCCCTTCCCCCATCCTTTTCAGCCTCCCACCGACAGCGCCTTACCTCTGGGTCCGGTCCAGAAGACGCACGTGGCAGGCGAGGTGCTTCGGTGGGACGCCGAGGCTGAGCGGGTGGTTCGGGTGCTGGCAGTAGACTATGTGGAGCTGCTAGAAGGGGAGGTTCGGGCGCTGAAGAGACGGCTGGAGGAGGAGGAGGCAAAACTGGCTCGAGTGGGAGGGGGAGGAGGAGGCAGTGGGAATGCGCTGCTGGAGTATTTGAAGGGACTGGAGCCGCAGAATATACAGGTGAGCAGGAAGTAGAGAGCACGGAGCAGCGAGCAGAGAGCAGAGAGCAGAGAGCAGAGAGCAGGGAGAAAAGTGCCGAGTGGATTGAAAAGATGCAGTGGTAAATTGAGGGGCAGGAGTCGAAAGAGAGAGGGCCCAGGGCAGGAGTCGAAAGAGACAGGCCCCAGGGCAGGAGTCGAAAGAGACAGGGCCCGCCCTCCCCAACCCCACCTTCCAATCCGCTCTCCCCCTCCCCACTTTCTCCCCACTCTGCTCCATTCCCCTCATGCCCCCCCACAGGAGCTGACAGCCAGTGCGGATGACGATGCACTGGCAGCCATGAATGCGTTCATCCAACGGCTGCTAGGCGTTCCTGATGTTGAGGAGATCAAGGTGAGAGGAGGTTGGCAAGTGAGGGAGGTGTGAGGGGGTTGGGAGAAAGTGTGTAGGCATGAATGCGTTCATCCAACGGCTGTTAGGCGTTACTGATGTTGGGGAGATCAAGGTGAGAGGCTGGGATTTGGGTGACATGGAGAGAGACCAGATTGGGGGAGGTGTTTCGGAGGTTGCACAGAGGTACAGTGACCGAGCTGGCAAGTTCCACTTGCACCTGTGTGTTGTGTACTTGTGTTTATTATATACGTATTCTCCTCTTCAAGTTTTCTCCTTCCCATTTTTTGCAATCTCCATATATACTCTACTCCCAGTCTGTGGCGTCAGAGACTACAGTGACGGAGCTGGCAAAGCTGCTCTATTGGCTAATGGTGGTGGGCTACAGTCTGCGCACATTAGAAGTTCGGTTCGATATGGATAGAGCCCTCGCCGCACCTGCAGTGCAGAAGAGAGCCGAGCTCCCTCCACCAGGCACTGACGGCTGGATCATATGAAAGTCGAGATTGTTGGGTTGGGATACTAGTGCAACACTTCATGAAAATGGCAGTTCTCAATCCCGTGTTTGCACGTGGTCTTGCGGCAAATGAGTCTTGAGTGTACTGTCTGTTTCCAATCATAAATCGGAGGCCTCTCTTGGTGTAAGTACACTGGACCGATGACGTGTGCTTGGAAGGAAGTATTTTATAAATATTCCTGGAAGGTGCATTTACTATCTCTATGTAGTGCCCACAGGGTCAAATCGGACTCCCTGGGCATCGTTCTGTAGGCGCATTGGAGATGCTCAGGCCTGGTGATAAACCTTCTTGGAACGCGATGTGAGACTTTAAAGCCCATGTCGAACCTCCCATTTCGTTATTGTCGTCCGAACCTGGGAGCTGCGCCCACGTGTAACTGAACGGAGAACAGTCCATCCCCTCCGAGGCTGCATGGAAGCCTCTTCCTCGGGCAAATTGAACCAACAGCCCGTGCGAACCCTATCCGCCCATCCCCCCAGGGATAAGGAGACGCACAGGCTGTGACGGGCAGATCACAACGCCCGTTACTGGGACGTTTGAAGATCAAACCTCACCACAGAAAAATCAAATCCTAAAACGTCTACGGTTGAGAGGTGGTTGCAGGGAACCCTAAAACGTCTACGGTTTGTGCCTGGGTTGGGCCCTAAAACATCCTTCAATCGTTCTGGGCAGATGGGACGAAAAAAGTTCGGATGTATGCGAAATTGCTTCGTCAGCAGTTTCGAATTTCGGCGAAATCGAGGACGACCTCTCCCCTTCGTGGAACATGCTTCCCGCAAAGTTTGTGCAGAGAGGCCCGATGGCTTGTGCGCGTACAGAACGATGCCCTGGTTGAAGCCCTCAGTTCGAACCATTCCATGCTTCTGCGGTGGTTCCATCGACCTCCTCCTCACCTTCCTCACCGTCAACCTCCTATCCGTTGGGAGCAGCGCAGCCCCAATCTACGGCCCTCCTGCTTTCCCTCCTCATTTTCACCCTCCATCGGGAGTTGCGAATTCCTATCTACGGCCCTCCTTTCCCTACTGACTCCCACTCCACTGGCTATGGACTTGACCTACGGAACCGCGTGCCCTCCCGGTCGCTTCTGTGATCTTATCACCACCATTTCCAGCCTGGCGATTGGTCGAGTAGCGTGGCTCTACCGCGTGGCCAGGCTCGCATGCCAGCAGCGCAAGGCGATATGGTCCTAAATTTGTTACCTGACGAATTCAAAATCGAAAATTCTTTGCGAAAATTTGCAACTCTGCTGGGGATTATCACCTACCAGGCTGTCGAGACTCCAACCCAACATCGTCGAGCAATCAATGAGCGACCCCGTTGAGTGCGCTTTTTCCGTACAGCTTGTGTTAGCGCGAGTATGCTGTTGCTTCGTCTATGAATCTAGATTGATGAACCGAAGCGCCACGGCAGTGCTGTCTGTCGGGTTAGGGTGATCCTTCGTTCGATCAGCAGCACAACCTTTCGCAATACGCGGTTGACCGGTCGTTCACAACCATGACGGTCGGTCGCATTGTGTCGGTACGAGTCGCGAAGGCGATTCGGGATTGTCTCAGTCTCGAACTTGCCACGTGCACATTGAAATCAGAAAAAATAACGGCGTTTGATGTCCCATAAAGGCCACCTGTTCGACTCAACTCGTCATTCAGCTCAGCAACGCAGCCCTAAAAGCACCCGAGTAGCCTGCAGCTCCCCTGGATAACGCGGGACCACCGGGAAGCACCTATTTGTAGCGTTTTTCAACAGCAACAATGGGTTCGAGCACTGCCTCACTCCGGAAGTTCGAGAAATCTGTCCTTTCGTTTCTTCTGTTGCTGTCAGCGTTCGCCATGATGGCATGTGCACCAGCAGAGGCAGCACGGGTGTTGAAGGCGAATTTGGTCAACCCGAATGGACCAACTTCCGCACATAATGCGCTTGGATCCTTCCCTTCCTCAGCATCTGGGCAATCTTTTCCTGTCACAGCAGCTGAGCATTCCGCTCCTATCCAAACAGACGTGGGATCTGAGCCGTCAACAGGCTCCGCCATAGCGGCTACTGTGGCATCTGAGCCGTCCACTGACCCCGTCTCTGTGCCTGCTATAGCCGTGAATGGCGGTGATGGGGAGACAGACGACGAGCCTGATGGTGCTGATTTCAACTCTCCTGACGCCAACTCTCCTGACGCTAACTCTCCTGCTCCTGTTCCAACTGCCTGGTTGAGCCCGGCACAGATCACAGATGATCTTCAGGTTCCGAATGACCATGGACCTTTCCTTTTGGAGACCAATCCCATGCCAGCTGTGGGATCAGACGAGGCGGCTCCAGCAGGCAATGGGCATGGAAACGTGCCAGAGATTCATGTAGCTTTGCCAGAAGAAGCAGCACCTGCTGCGGCTCCAGCAGGCTCGCAAGTTGTTGTGCCCGTGCCTGATGCTGCTGATTCCAGTGCTTCTGCTGCTGTTCCAAGTGCCTGGTTGAGGTCAGCACCAGTTCCAGATCGTCAGGTGCCGAATGACCATGGTCCCTACCTCCTCGGGACTGATCCCGTCGTTCCAGCTGTGGGTTTGGAGGAGGTGGCTCTAGCAGGCAATGAGCATGCACTGCTGCCCGCCGTTCTTGTCCCCCAGCCGCAGGAAGAAGCACCTGGGGATGCTCCAGCAGCAGGATCCCAGGGAGTCCCGTCCACGCTTGATGGTGCTGAGTCCATCGATCCTGTTCCGGTTCCAAATGACCATGGTCCCTATCTTCTTGGAGTTGATCCTGCCGTTCCATCTGTGGGTTCAGAGGAGGAGGCTCCAGTGAACGATGGGCATGCACCCTTGCCAACTGTTCTTGTCCCTCAGCCGGAGGAAGATGCACCTGAGGAGGCTCCCACAGCGGCATCTCAGGATGTTACTCCCATGCCCGATGGTGCTGATTCCAGTGCTCCTGGGCCTATTCCAAGTGCATGGTTGAGGCCGGCACACATGCCAACTGATTATCCGGTGCCAAATGACCATGGCCCCTACCTTTTGGGGACTGATCCTATCGTTCCAGCTGTGGGCTCGGAGGAATCGCTGTTGCCAGTCATTCTTGTCCCTCAGCCGGAGGAAGCAGCACCTGGAGAGACTGCAGCAGGCTCTCAGGTTGTTGCACCTGAGAACTAGGATCTTGCTTGGGAGGGAGTGAGTGAATCACAAGAGACTTTATGCTTTGGTTGTCAAATGTGAGCAGATTGGAAGTAAACTTTCTGATACAGTGTTTGTTATTAGTTGTAAAAGGGTATTTTGTTGAGAGAAGAAATGTTGGCCCCATTGTTATCAGCTGATGCTTTTCAACTACACAATCTATGTAAAGCATTACAGTCTGCACTTCATTGTAAAACAAATGCGCTATGGGGTGTTTCTTCTATATGGGAAGCGGTTTGATGCGGTGGGGTGGGAGGCTCCCTTCGACTTCTCAAATTTGATCCCCCTTGGCCCCTAGTCGGATCTGAAATGGAGACACCGTCATACTGCGTTTCGTTGCAGAATAGTGGCTAACGCCGAAGCGTGAAAAATTGCTTCTTTCCCTACCCCGAAGCGTACAGACAGCCTCTTTCGTACACTTCGCCCTCGTCAACGCCGGTAGCGGGACGCCGCGTTACGTCGCACCTTACTAGATTTTGTCGAAGCGCAGAAACTGCCTCGTTCCGTACCTTGTTATTTTCAGTGACCCCCGTAGCGGTAGGAGAGAAGAAGCTGGGTTGTAGCGTTTCAGAAGCTTCCAGATGCAGTCCACGTCAGCATCCGGAGGACCACATTCCGCCAATCGGGCTACCGCTGGAGGAGCCGCTCCGCAACCCGCGCATGGACCCCCCATCGGCGCAGGCGGCGGAGATCATGCGCAAGCCGCCGGTGGCGGGGTGATTGCCGCGGGAGGCGCAGCGGAAGCGGGGGGGCTCGTACAGGGCATGGCGCAGGCGGGAGCGGAATCGGCGGCGGGAGCGGAGCTGTCTAAAGCCGCGGCGCGGCGGGTGGTGGACCTGCGGTCCGACACGGTGACTAAACCCACAGGCGCGATGCGGGAGGCGATGAAAAACGCTGACGTGGACGATGACGTCATCGGGATTGATCCGACGGTGGACAGGCTTCAGAGGCAGGTGGCGACGATGATGGGGAAGGAGGCGGGCCTGTTCGTGCCGTCCGGCACCATGGGGAACCTCATCTGCGTGCTCGTGCACTGCGAGGTGCGTGTGTGTTAGCTTGTACGCGTTATGGTGTACTGCGAGGTATGTGTATGTGTGTCATAGGCTGCTGTTGGTGCCGTCGGGCACCATGGGAAACCTCATCTGCGTTCTCGTGCACTGCGAGGTGCGTGTGAGATTGTAACTGCTTGTACGCGTTATGGTCTCACTTCGACGTACCGGTGCACGTCATGGTGCTAGTTCTCTGGTGAGGTTGACAACCAATCACAGTATCTGAGGCTGCTGCTGCGGTGCGGTTGTGCTGTCCATCGGGCACCATGGGGAACCTCATCCGCGTTCTCGTGCACTGCGAGGTGCGTGGGCCTCTATACGCGTTATGGTGAACTGCGATGTGCATGTACGTGTATCCCTTGCTTGTTTTAAGACCCAACTGAACAGCACTGCTCAGTCATAGGCTTCTGAACAGCGCCACAGTGAACAGCACCACACTGAACAGCACCACACTGAACAGCACCACACTGAACAGCACCACACTGAACAGCACCACACTGAACAGCACCACACTGAACAGCACCACACTGAACAGCACCACACTGAACAGCACCACACTGAACAGCACCACACTGAACAGCACCACACTGAACAGCACCACACTGAACAGCACCACACTGAACAGCACCACACTGAACAGCACCACACTGAACAGCACCACACTGAACAGCACCACACTGAACAGCACCACACTGAACAGCACCACACTGAACAGCACCACACTGAACAGCACCACACTGAACAGCACCACACTGAACAGCACCACACTGAACAGCACCACACTGAACAGCACCACACTGAACAGCACCACACTGAACAGCACCACACTGAACAGCACCACACTGAACAGCACCACACTGAACAGCACCACACTGAACAGCACCACACTGAACAGCACCACACTGAACAGCACCACACTGAACAGCACCACACTGAACAGCACCACACTGAACAGCACCACACTGAACAGCACCACACTGAACAGCACCACACTGAACAGCACCACACTAAACAGCACCACACTGGCGACACTGGGGGGAGTGCATCCTCATTCCCTGCTTCCGCCCTCTTGACTCCCACAGGTGCGGGGCAGCGAGGTGATTTTGGGTGCGGACTCGCACATCAGTGTGTATGAGCAAGGTGGTGTGGCCACACTGGGCAGCGTGCATCCACGCACGGTGGTGAACAAGGCAGACGGCACAATGGACCTCAAGAAGGTGGAGCTGGCTATCAGGAAGGACGATGAGCATTACCCGGTTACCAGATGCATCTGCCTCGAGAACACGCACAACAGGTGAGGCTGTTGCATGGGGACTGCAAACCAGGGTAGCATAGAAGGTCATGAACAAGGCAGACGGCACCATGGACCTGAAGGAGGTGGAGCTGGCCATCAGGAAGGACGATGAGCATTGCCCCGTTACCAGATGCATCTGCCTCGAGAACACCCACAACAGGTGAGGTCCTAGGGGTCCTTTTGAGTCGGCCCAGAAGGTCCTAGGGGTCCCTCATTTATGGTGAGGGGAAGGGCAGCACAGTACGGTGGTGAACAAGGCAGACGGCACAATGGACCTCAAGAAGGTGGAGCTGGCTATCAGGAAGGATGATGAGCATTACCCGGGGTTACCAGATGCATCTTCCTCGAAAGCATCCGCAACAGGTGATTTTACTTGATATTCGAGTTCATTCATTTGTATCAATAGCAGAGCTATTCATGCGAGTGTCAATGTCAGCGTGACGCATAAGACTTTCAACGTTATTCACATCATTTTCAATGTCTTTAGTACAAGTGACAGTGTCACTCATATCAATGTTTATGTCACTCATATTAGTGTGCATGAAACTCATAACAGTCTTATTGCCACGTGAGCCACAGATAACAGTAGCCACAGGTTGCTCACGCAGCATCGTGAGCCTTAGGCCAGAGGCCTTCCATTCTCGCACTCCGTCTTTGAGGGTGGGCTCTTCGCATCCTTTTTCAAATACAAGGCCAAGGCTGCCGTGGTCAAGCTCTACCACATCGCACATTTCCTTATGAGGTGAGTACATCTATGCTGCAAGTTTTAAGTCCATTCTACCTTTCCTGTTTTGCATAATGGTGTGACATGCCCTCTTGATGTCCACGTATTATTGTGTTTTATGTGTGTTGCTAAGTCGTGCACCGCATTGTCAATGACGGCAAGGACCTGGAGCACAGCACCGTCCACAATATCAGGCTTGTCTCCGAGTACCTACGCAAGGTGACTGCATCATGGTGGTACCATTCATGAACAGCAGCGGCCCCTGGTACGTGGGTGCGGAGAAAGCATAGGCGTTCTCCAAGATAGAGATGATCTTGATCTTGACGGATGGCGATGAAGACACTGAAGGCCTTAGCCATGAACAACCCCCTGTGGACGTACCGGGTGCTTGATGTTCATGCTCCAGGTACGTCCACAAGGGGGTGTTCTCGATTTACGCCTTCAGTGTCTTCGATGTCATCCGTCGAGATCAGGATCGTCTCTGTCTCGGAAAAGGCCCATGCGTTTTCGACATTCACGTACCAAAAACCGTTGTCGTTCACGACTGGTACCATGATGACCGCCTTGCACCACGCAGTCACCTTGCGTAAGTACTTGGAGACAAGCCTGATGTTGTGGCATGCGCTGTGTTCCAGGTCCTTGCCGTCATTGACTATGCGGTGTTCGACCTAGCAGCATACATGAGACACATAATAAGTAACATCAAGAGGGCACATCACACCACCATGCAAAACAAGAAGTGTAGAACAGACTTGAAACCCGTAGCAACGATCTACTCACCCATAAGGGAATGTGCATTGTGGTAGAGCTTAACCATAGCAGGCTTGGTCTTGTATTTGAAGAAAGACGCGTAGAGTCTGCCCTCAAAGGCAGGGTGCGAGAATGGAAAGCCTCCGACCTGAGGCTCACGATGCCACGTGAACAACCCGTGGCTTCTATCCAACCTTCACTGCCTATAGCCTATGTTCTTCCGTGTACCCTCTGCTTCCAGGTGTGGTGGGCGTGCCATAACATTGGACTATACAGAGCGACTGGGGGAGCTGGCGTCGTGGTACGGACTCAAGTTTCACATCGATGGAGCGAGAATATTCAACGCCGCTGTTGTGAGTTGATTGAAGGAATAGGACCTGTGTGCTTGTAACATTACATGTTGCTCCATTCACCAGTTGAGGATAATAGAGGGCGTTTGGCGAAGCTGGCGTCATGAATCAAGTTCCATGGAGCGAGAATATTCAATGCCGCTGTTGCGAAATATTCATTGGAATAGGAGCCATACGCTCGTATCCATACATTCGTTTCGTAGCTGTACACTCATAGAAGGCTACTCAATTAATGCATTCTAACATTGCCGCACCAATTTTTATTTCTCCAAGTAGTCTGCGCTAACAGTATGCAGAAAACTAACCGTTAGCGCGAAACGTCACTCAATCAATGCATTCTAGCCTTGACGCGCTAACTGTTAGTTCCCTGCATGTGCATTTGGCTCGCGCCAAGGCCCTCTGTCTGCCCATGGATAGCCTTGTCTTGTCTGGCCAAGCCGACACAGTATAGCCTTGCCCTCTGTATGTTCCTGTTTCATTCCCCCTATGCATCTACTATCTATTCTCTCTCCCTGCCGCTGTCGATTCTTTCCAGGCCCTCAGAGGGCACTGGATCGCCTGCTTTGCGTCGCACACTCCAGTGGTGCCTCTCACTCCTCCCCATGCTCTATGTGCACCATCACCCTAAGCCACCTCTGTGTGCTCTCTGCCTGCCTGCCACTGTTGACTCTTTCCAGGCCCTCAGAGTGCCTGTGGATCGTGTTTTGAGACGTCTCAAAATAAGCCACCTCTCTGTGCTCTCTCTCTGCCTGCCGCTGTTGACTCTTTCCAGGCCCTCAGAGTGCCTGTGGATCGCCTAGTCCGCCCGGCAC